CAAGGTGGTATTTCGAAATACTTCTGTGTCTGGGTGTTCAAATGTGTCAGCTGATTCTTCAAGTAGGGAGTGAACCTTGAAGGAAGAATACGGCACACAAGAAGGTCGAACATTCAGCAGACGCTCATATACATCATCTAACAGGGATCTTACAGGGATGATCAGCTAGCGATATCATGATACAGTAGCCGAGAGACAACTGCTTACGTATTAACTTGAGGGAAAGGTTCACAGCAATCTACATATAGGCTTTGAATTGATATTCTGAAAGTTCCAAAACAAATTTGCAAAACCTGATGATAAACAGGATCTAGTCTTAATATAGCACAATCTAGAGCGGACAAGGGCTCTGTAAATACGGAGTAATGATCCACATTCTGCACCCCAGGTGATAGTTGCCAAAAACCTTTAACATATTTAACATCTTAAAATACTTCTTCCTAAAATATTGAAAGTGTGAAAGGTCAGGTTTCGGTCGAATACCAACCCTAAAATTTTTATTTCCAGTACAACTGGAATTTGTGAACTTTTGAGATGAAGTTCCAGCTCAGGACGGACACCTCGTTTCCTACAGAAATGTATACAAGCAGTCTTCTGTTTTGAAAATACAAATCCATTATTGTGACTGTGTCTGGATCCTGTTAAGAGCGATCTGTAATTGTCTCTACTTATCTAGAGATCGTCAGCATATAAAGAACCTGAGACACTTGGAAGAAGTTTCTTTAGAACAGTTTATTTTTAAGCTGAAAAGTGTAACATTCAAGACACAGCCTTGAGGCACACTCTTGTCTTGTTCTATGAGCCAATTCTTACTTGAAAAGTTCAAGCCTTCAAGAAGTTCAAAATGAAAATAGGCAGGTTTCCTCGCAAACCACTAGCGTGAACATCACACAAAATACTGTATCTCCATGCTTATCATAAGCTTTTTCTATATCAAAGAAGACAGAAAACTAGGTAGTTTCTTTTAACAAAAGCTTTATGAATAGAGGTTTCTAGAAGGAGCATACTCTTGATGGTTGTTCTGCCTCTACGGAAACCACTCTGATATGGGAAGGAAATAAAATTTTTTCCGAGGTAGTAAACTAGACGGCTGTTTACCATCTTTTCAAACAATTTGCACACACAGCTGGTAAGGGCAATCAGCCAGTGCTATGGGTATAACTATAGCTTTCTTCCAGGCACTAGAAAAGGTGTGCTCCCTCCACACTCTATTGTAAAGAGTGCAGCCAGTGACTTCAAGGAAAGCTGCTTATGCATTTTATAGCTGACTACATCTGTATCCGGACTAGATCTTTGTGTATGGGATAGAGCTCTCTTTAGCTCAGGCATGCTGAAATCCCCATTATAGGGTTTGAAGTTGGAAGAGTCATCCGGCCATCTTTCTCCAGAAATGAAAGTGAATTGTCTTTATATTCCGCATACCTTTCCCAATTTTTTTTTTTTGCTTGGCATAGAGGATGTTATCGACGACACACGAGATCCAGGAATCCTTCTGGCTTTGCCGTCTTATCCGCCTTACGTTTGCTTTTTTTTAAGGCAATAAGATTCGTCAAAGTGGGGTATTTACGAAAAACTCCATCTTGTTGGGAGATTTTCCAAAATTCTAGTATGCTTTAAATAACTATCTAGTGTAAAACTGTTATTATGCAGATACCCAGATCCCCAACAAGAAGGGTGTTCAGTCAGAAGTTTAACCCTTAATTTCCCAATTTTTTAAATTTCTATGGAAAAATTATATCAGCTACTTCTTAAGTAATAATAAAAGGGAAAAATATTTTTTAAAAAAATTAAGCAGTTTTAAATTGAATTTCAGTCATTTTTTTGTTTGTTGCAGAAGTGCAACATTGCGCAGTAATGCTGTAAAATTACAAACCTTTTTTTTTATATGAGGATTTTATTATTCATTGTTATAAATTGCTTAGCCTTACATACAATGAAAACTTTTAAAGCAGTTATTGACTTTGTTGTAAAACGTCCCCTACTTTACACTTTTCACACTCAGTTTGAGTGTAGCTCTTGCAGTTTGGAAACTTGCACCGTATTCTATTTCTGACCATATTGGCCAATGATTTATACCATCTCTACGAATGTCCTTACATGGAACGGATTGGGCAGTCCCTTTGCATCTTTTAGTCTGGGACATTTGTTCTATTGAAGTATTACTAGGTCTTCCTCTTTTAGCATTTCGATTCGTACCCCATTTTGCATAAGCATGATGCAACTTCAGATTTGAATTTTTGTAAATTTATTAGATTTTTTTTTTTTTAATTTTTTCAGATTTCTTCATTGTTTTTTATTGATCAATCCAAGCTCTTCTGACCAGTATGCTCTATAGTTTGGCAGGTGAACTAGAGATGCATAAACACAAATACCCAAATATTGATTTATTTCATTCTCTGATATAGTCAAAGGCTTACTTGGATTCTTTTGAATAGCATATCGTTTGCTCCGTCTTCATAAATGTTACTTATGATCTCGTCCGTCCATAAATATTTAAAAAATTGGTATGGTAGTGTCCAAATCCATTAATTTCTCTTGGGAGCGTGTCATCTCCATGGAATTTTATTACTTCTTCATTCAATGAAATGTTTTGATTTTTCCATAAAATATTCTTTGACAATGTTTTATTATTCTTAAAGAGTTAAATTATAAAAGGTTCTCTAACTGAAATATACCAGCGGCCAAGCAGTAAAGTCGCTGAATACCGATAGTTCGTTTTCATGGTTTTTCCCATGTATAACTTGTATAGTTTCCGTTAGAAAATCCTCCACGAAGGCATCCCTCCCTGTAGGCAGACAGCTCTCAAGGCTTTGCCATAATCACACACACACACTGGCAGAAATATTTCTATCAAATTTATTATCCTTATCATCGGATTTTTTTATATTCTGAATTGTATTTTGTGAAACAACACTATTTCACAGTCGCTATCCAAATCATCATTAGATGACACACAATCAGGTAAAAAATGAACATCATCAGCAGAATATCATACCTGCCAACCTCTAAAAATAAAAATTCAGAAGAACACGAAGAATTAATATCATACTTTGATATTGAAAAAATAACAATTTATACAAATAGAAAAAAGAAAATTGTACTTACATTAGTAAATCTCAGTAAGTAGTAACTAAAAATTTATAGGAAAATAAAACAAGAACTTAGTTACAACAAAAAAATTATTGCAATGAATTTAGAGTGCATTTTTTTGGCTTAGCGAAAATTCTTGGAAAATTCCTGTCACACAATTAGTTTCCTCAAACATTTAGGCAATTAAATGTTTTCTAGAGTTTTGTGAAATGAAGAAGAAACATTTTTGTTTTTTTTACAACACTGAAGACTCTCTCGCACTCAGCATTACTGTGTGGAATTACGAGAATAACAATAAAACTCTTGCTAGTCTATCATATTTGTGTTCCATGAGCTCTTTTTAGTCTTTTTAAGGTACCAAAGGACATCAAGTCTATCTTCTCCAGAACTGGCAAATCTTCAAACTGGCAGCAGAAAATTGGTTCTGTAGTTCTCTAAAGCATCATTATGGCATTCATTTTCTTTAATTGTTAACAAAAATTGGAAATTTATCAATAAAAAAACGAATCTTTTCAAAAGATGAATTTTCAATTTGTCAAAGATGAAAATCCATCTGAAAAGTTGACGGCGTGATCGGCAGCACTTAGCGGCATGTTGTGTTCGTGAGGAAGCAGTAAACAAACACTCTGCCAAAATGACATCGGCATCTGAATTCGTAGCTGAATTTGAAAAAAATCATCCACTTTCTTTGACGTTGTCGAAGCCGAAGCATTAACTTCATGATTTTTAGACTTAACATGCTCCACAATGTCGCTTCTTCCACCGTGACTTATTACGAAGGCACACACGACACGTTGCAAAATGATAGTTATTTCCTTTGAAGGATTCTTTAATGTTGGAAATCGGCTTTATAGGTAGGCCGAACTATTGAGAATACGGTTTTTTTGAACTCATTTCGTAACAACGGCGTATTAAGAAAATTCGTAGCACGTGCAAGCAAAAAAAAAAATAAAAAAAATAAAAAAAAACCCAGAATCCGACAATCCACGCTCACTCAATATGAGCTGACTAATTCCCTTGCTGCTGAAGCGAACGCGAAAAAAATAATCTGGCGCCCACAAAGAAAAGAGTGGGAGAAACAAGTTCAGCGCATTGGATTGGCTGGTTAAGCGGCAAGTTGGGAGGAACCGAGGTTACTGGATCGAAGTAGTCGTGGTGATGGAGGTAAAAACAGGAAATTGGCGAAAATCGCTGAATTTGTGAAAAATTCTAAAATTTTGACCAAAAAAACTAAAAAACATTTGAAAAAGGCAAAAAATCGTAAAAAATGGATTACGATCGTAAAGACAAACGCATTTTCGTAAAAATTACGAAAAATTCATAAAAGTTGGCAGGTATGGAATATTCAAGACTATCTTCACTTAAATCACTCATATCGTCCAAATTATTCATATATTTATTTTGGGTTAGTATACGCTTTTTGGCCATGTCAAAATGGTAACCAAAGACCAATGTTGCAGACCTGCAACATATAATTAAAATCAAATTTCTTTTAAATGAATATAAAATGTTTAAACTTCTTACCTGGTAATTGTTTTTGTCAATAAACAAGAGGTAGCATAAAATATAATGGATTCTTTTTATAGCAAAAACACAGTTCTTGAGGCATCAGAGATTTTTATAATTGTTGTGATTTCTGGAAAACATGTGCTGCTATCTAGTGACAAATTTAGCATGTATTTCGTTGCAGTAACCTTTTTTTCTTAGATAAGTGATTTGTAGGTAATTTTAAAAAATATTGAGTCTGTTAAATTAAAATAAATCATATGTTGCAGAAATGCAACAGTGGGAAGTTAAGGGTTAAATTAAAACTTACTTCACCACTTTTTATATACTTTAACATTAATTTTACAAAATAAAGGTGGATTTCCATTTGACATAACCAAATACATATAAATAAAATCAATCAATAGAGGAAACAAAATTTGTGACATTTATTAGTTTATTACATCATAAAACACACTTTGAGATATCTTCTACATTCCGCTGGAATGACTGTATATATAGCAAGAACTAACGAATATGTTGTACAAAAAGCACACAATGTTCTGTTCTACAGATGGAATGAAAAATGTGAAAAGATGTCAGTCAAACCACCACATTACAGTGCCACTTAATGTTACACCATCTCGCACAATGAACAAACAAAATTCCGTTTACAAAACATCTGTACAATTTCTTAGGTCCTGGCTCAACCGCATACTCAATGGTACAGTGCTGGTGACAGTCTGAATGTGCCATGTATATTAAGATAAAAATAAGATTTCATTTTGTACAAAAGGGCTCCAAATAGCTTTGAAAAATGAAAGCAAAAATATATTAATTTAGATATAAAGATGCATTTTGCCAAAAAGGGCACTCACCAACACTACCCATGAGCATTATAACTAGTTTACATTATTTCCAAAGAGTTACATTATGTGTGCAAATATATGGAATTTCAAGAGAAAGAATTATTAAAATACAAAATAGATACAAAAGTTGTTAACTCAGAGCGTAAGCTACAATTCATTTCTATTAGGATAATAATGTTCTTTTACATACATACTTTCAGGCATAACTTTAAAAAAAATTACAATAAGCAATCATTTGACAAGCAGATCGTAAATATATGCAATAAAATAAGACAAAGAAAACATCTACTTCCAAACTAACCAGTAACTATCCCAAGGCACTGAAATCATACCAACTATATTCCTGTATTGATTTGATACCACTAATTCCTTGGTTACAGAACACTTTTCTGTCATCTTTACCACAATGCTATCACTTTTCCTTCAGATAAATAAATATATAAAATTTTATGAAGAAATACACATTTGAAAATAGCAGATTTTTATCAAATATAAAAAATACACAGAGAAGGTATAAACAAAATGAAAAGAAATAAATTTCATTTCTTTTACTAAAAGTTTAATTTACATAATGTACTTCATACATTTAAAAAGAAGCATTTCATATCACCCCAGTAAAACATCAAAAAAAGAAGTTCAAAACCATCAATGACTGCAATGAGGAAATGCTCGTGAAGTTTATCTATGACGACAACAGATTACACTGAACACAGAACACTCGACATCGATACATCCTTTTAGGAAAAGCTACAAGAATTTTAGCACCAGTTTCACGAGAAAAATACAAAAAAATTTCTAAAATTTCAAACTAATAAAAAACACACATTTCAATGCACAGTGAATTAAGCAGATACATGGCAAAAATCATTTCCAACTTTAATGGAATGAATACAAACTGCTAGAAAGTGAATTTATTAAAAAATCTTAAAAGGAAAATAAAAAGCCATTATTATTCTGAATAAAAATGCTATAACCAGTCCAATATTGGCAACCTGTTATAGACAACATGCATACTTCTTCAGAACAGCCCACATAAAAAACATCGACTGTTGTTTCGATGACATGTTTATAGATTTCTAATTCTTCATCGAAATTCTTTCTAAGATAGTTATAAAGTATAGTTAATCATACAGGAGTACAAAAGTGGTTTTCTGTAATCGTGTTAGCGGAAGTCGAAGATCCCCCCCCTAACAACACGGTACCTAAAGGGATTCCTCAAAGCATGCTCTTCAAAAAGGAACAAAAATGGTTCTAAAATAGCATGATTCTAGCCGGAAAGAGAAAGGGATTAAATAGCACGAAACTTGCGCTAACGTGTCCCTGTGCATTGCCTACAAAGATTTTAGTCCCAAATAGTTTCCGGCGGATGTGCCGTTTTTCTCCCTAAGTAGATCGATGGTTTGTATCGAGAGTACCTATTTTTTTTTCTTTTTTTTCTTTCCAAAAAACCTATAGTATACTAATGTGACATATAGATCTATGCTACTTATGCCTGAGTATGAAAAACTTCATGGAATAAGTTACATATGTGAAATATAATTTTCATTAATATATATATATAAAGAGGATTCATAACAAAGCAAAACATGAAGATACAGATGCTTTATGCCAGTTTTTTTTTAGTTATAATTATTCCTAGTATGAAACTTTTTAATACACATAAAAGAAAACACATTACTCTTCAATACATGTTGCTGTCACATTCATAAACTGCAACATGTTTATTACACTTAATATATCACAAAACCATGCACTTGAAATGTAAATGAGAGTACATGTGTGAGGTTTTTCAAATATTAACTTACACAACAATAAGCAGAAACTATCAATATACACAAGATTAAATTAGTGTACATAAATCTAAAATGCAAAAGCAGAAATAATACAAAACACACATCCATAATTTAACTTTACATATATATTAAAAAAGGATTACTGTAAAATTTAACTGCAGAGATAATCCTATTAAAATTAATCAAAACCCTGCATATGCCACACATGCCCACACAAATACATATTCCATCATTTTATAAAAGTTCTCATATTGCATTTGAAGGAAAAACATTAAAAAAACTTTTAATAACATCTTTTTAACATGAAAATTTATACAGATGCGTGTTTCCCATTAAATAGGACTAACTCCCGTCCCCTTAAATATGATGGATAATTTTTGTTTATTACATTTAGACTCAAGCATGAAAGTGCATAAAATTTTAGAGGAAAAAACTTTAAAAATTTTATTTTTTTAAATTTATATTAAATGAATTTTATTCTGGCACATTTTGTACACCACAACTTCTGAATAAAGACAAGATAAAAATAAACTCAACCTACAAATATTAGACAACAGTCTAAAATACATAATTACCAAAGATATTTATGGCTGGCAAGCTTCCCCATTAAGAGGAAACTTTTCGCATTCTTACAGACACAAAACATCTGCGGATCGAAAATGAGCAAAGAAAATACCCTATGTTGCAATAAACACAAAACCATCTCACACTGTAACAAATTAATGGAATACGTGTTTTTTATGAATATAAAATGACTTATGAAACATCTTGATCTTCAACATCTTGAACTTGCTCTTTCTGTTCACTTTCACCTGAAAATAAAATTTTAAGTTGAAGACATTTCAAAAAATATTTCTTAGAAAATTCAATGTTTAAAAAGCTTCATATTATTAATTTAAAAATATGAAATAGGCCACAAAAAAAGTAGTATGCCTTCAATATCAGAGAGTAACATATGGAGGATGCCATAGCCCCTGCCTTGCTCTGAATGTCTATCTGCCAAATAAAACAGCATTATGCCTTTATTTTGCTATCCTGTTCAGCCCTATGTGCATTGCATCAGAAAGATGAGTTCTTGCAGGAACAATAAATAATGACTACAGATGGCTATGTGGGAAGGAAAAACACGAGGCCTAATTCCCATCTCCTTAAACTGTGGCAAATACGCAGGAGTTAAAAACCACTGAATTTTATGTTCAGTCTGATTCAGAAATGCCAGCAAACTGCCTGTCACAAACACATGACTTGACAACAAAGATTCATGAAATGTTTACAAACAAAAGGTGAACAACAAGAAGTTATGGCCACCACATTCCTCAAACTTCACCATATAAAATTTTTATCCATGAAAAAATTTAAAGCAGAATGTGTATACTAACTCTGGACGAACTCAAAGAAAATAGCATAAACACTATCTGCGACATCGCCGTTTAAGAATTATAAGCAATTCAGCCAACATATTCCACAATGTCTGCAAGTTCATAGACATGAACAAGGACCACTTGCAGCATCCATTGTACTGAGTAAGAAAATAAAACAATCTACTAGCTTGTCTACCATATCATACTATTGTCAAACATGGAATACTTTTCCGTGGCCCACCTTGCATTCTGGTACTTGAATAGTAGTGGATATCAACTAATACACCACAAAAATCCTTTGGGACCTTTTATCAACATCAGTATTTTTTTTTTTTTAATTATCATCAAGTATGTTTGACAATTGTATCAATTAGATTGTTAGTCTTTGCCTCCATATGAACGGTGCTAATTAAGGTTAGAGACTTATTTCAAAGCTTTCAGTTTTGATCACCAGCTTCTAACATAAGTTCATCACACAGTTTCACTAGATAAAAATTTTAAATAGATGTTATATTTTATAAATTTTAAATATTTCCCTAAAAAATACATATGCACTAAAATAACAGATAAATGCAATAAAATATGACATGAACAGACATTGTAAACCTTTTCATGAGAAAAGCTTACCAAAAACAATACAATGCAAATGTGGAATTGCTCTAATTGATATGAAAATTGACAATGTACTAAAATAATTATTAAAAAAACTTTCCACCTTTCTTGAGGACATGAAGAACTACTCCCCAAAATCACATCTTTTCAGAAGAACCCAGAATAACTGATAGGATTATTGCAATGGTTGCAGGAAAGCAGTCATGGGTGATATTGGGGATATGACAGGTGACACCGGCTTATAAACAAGTATCAATACTTTTATAAGCAATTTCTTAACAATGAAATTTCACAAACAATGGACAAATTTACAGATGGAATGATTTATCACTGTGTAAATCTTGATAAGCTCTCATGTAAAAACTTTTTACCAAGAATCATTTTCACTTGCAAGAATTTTTAATTAAAAATATATATATATATATTTTTTTTTTAACCTTTAATTTTGAAAGGGTGACAACACTCTCACAGGCAAATGGCTGCTATTTGCCAAACCAGAAACTTTCACAATAGTGCATAAAGGTGCTAGCACTCTCAAGGTTTGCTTTCTTCAAATGAAAACTTATTTATATAAAGGTACTGGAACTATCCCACCAGAAAGGTATATGATGACAGCAATAATTTCTTAGAAATGATTTTTTGAATGGTATGTTTGAAAATAATTTCCCTTGGTAAATAGGCACCATGCAAAACTTACAAATACAGTCAAAAGTCGTTAATTCGGACACCCATAATCCGGACCTCAAAGCTACAAACTTTCTGCGCATGCGTCGCGTTGACAAATGCGAATATGCGTGTGCGCATGCCCAAAATATGTTTACGCATGCACGTTTAATGTATAACAGACGGTATAAGCTAAGCTAAAATTATCTAATTCAGTTAATGTTGCATATTGCGTTGTTCCTTAATCTTCTAATTGGATCCGGCTAATTATTTTTTGCATACTATTTGAGCAAATTTATAAAAGTTAGCTTGAACTTTCGACTACTTCAAATAGAATTTCCGATATATATTTAGTAATATGTAAAGGATCTACAAAGCGAAAGTTTGTTTCGAAGTCCATTAAACAAAAAGTGGAATTGCTGCAAAAAATGGATAAAGGCATATCCTTTGTTTGTCTAACCATTCCGAAATCTGTTTATCAATTTCACGCTGCTCTGTGATGGGGGCATGCAATGAATTGGAAGTTGATCTGTAAGCACTATCCTTATCTTCAGGGCAGATGTTTTTATTTTATTTGGCTTATAATTCCTTACTAAATGTAGTATTTCATCTCGATGTACTCCATCTTTGATATGATTTAAATCAAATTCCTCGTCATTATAATTCGCTTCCGATAGCGAAGAAAGTACAGTAAACAAATAAATATTAAGCTTTTTTTTTTGTAAATTTTGATACCCTTTAGATCACAATTGTTCTTTATTTCATAAATTACGGTTTCATATTTTTAATTTTATAATTTCTGCATGCCATCTTACCAGATTTAAACTGATGATCTATAATCTGGAATCGCTGAAGTCCCGATGAGTCCGGATTAACGACTTTTGACTGTATACTCTGTGTGTCTCCTCTTTAGTTTGCAGTGCATACAAGGTGGTCATAAAAAAACTTCCCCAATATATGAACTCCTAGCAGCTTATCTGTTCAATTGATCCAAATGAAATTTCAGATACTGTTGTTTGAAGGTATGGACTTGAGATTGTGATAAATTAAAACAATAGAGCTCTTACAGTTATGTTTACAGTGAAAAAATTTTAAATTTTCAAATGGAGACACCCATTTTCCTTCTAAGGAAATTGATCAGTGCACTGAAAAACCATAAATGGCACTGGCATGACAGATATATGATAAAAATTGCTGACATAAAACATTTGCAAAAAGCACTGTAAAGGAGTAATGACAATATAAAGAACTTAGCTTAAATTCACATGAAAAGACAATAGAAACACCAATCACAGAACATCAATTGCAAAGCACTGCTTGTGGGAAAAACCTTTAATAATAAGCAGTATGGTAAAATTGTTTCTTCAATCTGGTGTCTGAACTTGTTAACGAGATGACACTTAAAGGCAACAATGAAGTGGATCGATAAAGCTGTTTTATTTGAACAGGGGAAAATGCTGCTAAACTGTGCAAATTTAATGGCAAATAAACAAAGACGAGGCCCATGTTCCATAAATACTACATGTGATTCGATAAACAAATTTTAAGAAAATGGATATGCAATCCAGAAGACCATGTGTTTTTGTTGAAGTAATCATAGAAGTGTATAATACAATTACTGCAGGTCTATTGCATACCTCAAGTGTTGCCTGCATTTTGAATAAACCAAAAACCATAATCAATCCTCAAGCTTCTGAGCTGTGATCTACGGACGTTTCCTTATCGATTCCAGTGCATCCAGATTTTCCAAGACGAGCAATAGCATGTCAACTTTGCAAATTCTTTTCTCATCAGATATGACAAAGATAGCATGTGACCACAGTGTATATTATGGGTGGATACGCTAAAGCAAATGCGAGGTGCGCCATTGCAAGCACATTCATTCTCAGTCCACACTTCTTCAAAGTAGTCAGTTCTGTAGGTATGAAAACTTGCTCCATCACAAGTGCCTGATATAAAACAATGTTGCATAATTATGCAATTCCAGAATTACAGCAACGAAATGCCTTTAATGATGCTGTATGTATACAAGATGGTATTTCTGCTCACATTGTCACATATGTTTGGCAAGTGCTACAACAGCATTGGAGATAGAGTTGTCTCCCATAACTTTGCAGTTTCATGGCTATTGTGATCCCCAAACTCATTCCAATGATTTCTGGTTCAGGAGTTATTTGAAATCTAAGGTGTACACATCAAACTTCAGATATGTCAGAATCGAGAGATGCTACAAAAACTGAAGTTATACAGATTCCTTCTGAGATGTTACGTTCATCATTGTTAACAATTTCCCGCATGAGATGCAATATTGCCTGCAAAGGTGGGTCACGCTGAAAACTTACATTTCGAATAAAAGGTTTTGTTCCCTCTCCTATCTTGTATTGTCAATGTTCTTTGCAGATGTTTTGCCCCTGCAATTTTTGTCATTCACGTATCTATTGTTTCATTTTTCACTGCAATTATAACTGTTAGAGACTACCGTTTTATATCATCACAATCTGGAATGCATACATTCAAATAATATCTAAAATTTCGGTACTTTTCCGTTTCGCCGGCGCAAATCTCGCCAAGCAGACTTTATTGGCGACAACATACAGTATACACATAAAAAATTATTTAAAAAATTTTAATTCTAAGAATTCTCTTTTTGAAGGCATAAACATTTTAATATCATTTAAAACTTTATAAAAAGCCAATAAATAAAGACAATAAATTTGTAAAAAGACATTAAGAATTTACTATGCTTTCATGGTTCAACATACTAATTCGCCGGTTCATATCACGTGACCCCAAGCGATCCCATCACACGTAAACTACTCTACAAAAATCTAAGCTCTCAGTAATTATCTACATTAATTTCAAGTTAAATCTTAATTTGGAACACAAGTTTAAATGCAAGAAATATTTCAGTGCGTACGAATAGCTTACTCAGAAATTATGTAAAACTGCAGTGCTTCACTAATGCATTCTCATTAGAAATTGATGAATTTAACCCTTGACTTTCCTTTTCTATATTTTCGGCTCTTCGGGTAAGCGCTGTAATTGCATCCTAATTGACTTAAACACCGAAAATGGCCTTAGACATAAAATTGAACTATCTGATAAAATTCTGTGTAATAATATGCCAGCATTGAAAGAAACAATCAATCTGATAAGAAAAAGCTGCGACTTGTTTTGAAAATGAGGCGTAAAAGGTTACCAGCGAGAATATTCCGTTTGGCATCGGTTGTACCATTATTGGCGACTTTATCGCCTGCGCCGGCAAAACGGAAAAGTACCAAAATTTCATTTCATTTGGTTGAGCTGATATGCTGCTAAGGGTTCATATATCGGTGAAGTTTTTTTATGAATGGCCGTACATGGCATTTTCTCTTTGCATTTGTTCATTTTCCCCACAATATGTTATTGCCCGATATTTACAAAAGTGGATTACTGTACGAAATTGAGTATTAGCAAAAGCCACACATAATATAATCAATATTACCGTACCTAATTAAAGCACTCAAAATATGACAGGAATTTCAAAGAATGAAGTTACTGCACGAGCAATCAGAAGATAAAAATGAGCATCTTTCAACATGCATAGCTAAATAACTATAAATGCCAATTTGGCTAATCTTTAGAATATGGTAACAGGTAGTTTGGGCGACATTTTGGTAAGAAGATAAAGGTTACTAGCTAGGACTTTAGCAATAATCTGAGAAGTACACAGTTCGTATCACAGATTATTTTGTCTCAGAGAAATGAGAGATCACGAGACATGTAACGTGACATTTTCCGTACAATTCCGATCGTGATTTTAGCTAATAAGCACTTAGAAACAATTTCGCTGCTAAAGTGCAGAATCGCCCACTTACTTGTTTTGCGCTTTTTACAAGTGTAAGAAGAATTGCATTTTTGTCAATTTTCTTTGACTTTTTAAGTGAAAAATAGGTTGATGTGTACATAGATAAAGTCAATGTGTGCGCAGTGCCATTTTTGTGCAATTCTGGGATTTAAGTGAAAATAGGTCGACTGTACATGGACACCGTGTATGTGCAATTCTTAAAAACACAGCAAGCAGTTTGCGATTCTGCACTTTCTCCCAATTTCACACCTAATCTTCATCGTGATTAAGCATTTTTGTTCCATAAAAGTTCTATTATAAGCGTAATTCGGCTAGCAGGTTGTTGGAAAAAATGTTAAGTGTAATTAAAAAAAAAAAAAAAGCCTTTACTTTGTGAAAACAAAATGGCGTCCAAAACAAAATTAGCAAGTTGCTGTAGCAGGGTTGGTCACCAAATTTTCGCCAAGCTACCATAATCTAAAGAGTCACTGCCAATTCACATCTGCTGTTACAAAGAGATGAAAAACAAGATGACAACTTGCGTCTCCCACCAAGTACACCGTGTTAATTTATGTTCAACACTTTTACTAATAGATAAAAGGCTAAAAAATGGGACTTTCTATTTGCAATCATTTCCCACTTTTGGTAAAAATTGCTCCTTTCTGGTGTATTTTTGAGTATACACACAACAATAAATAATATATATAAGTATCACACAGCTGTTTTGAGAATGTGAATTTACTTCCTTACACATGCGAACTTAAAATTTTACATTCATGTTGCTTCACTAAACAGTATCCATGGGCTGTAAAGAATGTAAATATTAAATATTGAATTTTTCCATCTTCATAAAACGCTTAATTATTGTTTATGAACAGAAAAGAAAGTTACTTGGGATACGTAAAGAACAGACTCTTCCCATCCTAAGTCACAAAGTTGCAAAAGAGTTTGTGACTTTTCATAGCCACATTTTAGTTAAAAAAATAAGCACCTATAAGCACTTTTCAAGCACATTTGAAGAAAAAAAATAAGCGCCTGTCTTATTACATTATACACAACTGCATAACCTTAAAAGAAAAATTAGACTTGCAATTCAAAATATGAGCAATGCAATATTTATTAAAAGAATAAGCATTACCTCAACCATGGAAAACAATTAACTTTTTTTAAAATTTTAAATGACAGTTCAATTTACAGAATTCGTTTACAATGAGAGAAAAAAAAAACTATGCAGAACTAAACTATATTACAAAATTTAATGATGATATTTCAGTTGAAAATATAGAAAATAAATAATAATAAGCCATATTAATTGTATTCGCTTGGCACCTAATAATAAATACAATTTATTTTTCCTCTTATATTAAATATTTAAAGAATTTAACTTAAATCAAAATTCTGAACATTTTCTAAATTTTCATTGCATAACTGTTTTCCCTTAACATATATTCCAAGTAAAGTAATTTAAGTAAAAAAGAGGAACATTTCTGAAATCTGGAGTCAGGAAATTGCTTCATGCAGTCATCCTTTAACAGTAAAAGCTTAACTAATCCGCATACTTGGAAATTGCCGAATATTCCGCATTCGAGCGTAACTGGAGGAGGGGAGATTGTAGCCGTTTTTTAGATTGCTCGGCTAAATAAATGATTTTGACATTCCGATATGTGCTTCATATAAAAATAGACCAACGGAACTGAGAAATATTCTGTATTCTGCTTAGAAAGAACAGTAAAACTCTTATAAGTGTTCATAAATAAATCTCAGACTGAACATCAAAATTAATTATCTCTGCAAAATACCGCAAACATTATTGCACAATACGTGCGGAGTAATTCTTCCATACGTGATATTACGCAATCGGAATCAACAGCTGCCGGTATTCGAACAATATAGAACTAAATAAAGGAAAAGAAAGAGACTTACTAATCTGGGGTGTTTTTGATTCTAATTTTGAACAGACCGTTAAATTTCCGGAATAGAATCATTCTTTACTTTGGTTGGGTAGACCGCAAAACTTTTAGTCCTATTCAATCCAGATTGGACAGTATGACAAAAAAAAAAAAAAAAAAAAAAAAAGTCCGCTGCTTCAATGTTAGAGATTTTGCGGAGAAAGGGGAAAACCTCCCAACCTCCGTACTGTATAATGTATTGGGGGGGGAATTATTCTGACTATTCGATTACTTTCCTTTTATTTAAGCCATTCTGAATATTATTCCTTAGAAAGCTAATCTGTGTAAAAATAAACCCATTTTTGGAAGTTTATCTACACTTCAGTAGCTACTGCAACTATATTATATTCAAACATATGCTCACAATATAAGCATAATGATCATAATAAACACGAATATGAACTGACCACGCGGAACGAGAACATAAATTATTAAAATCTTGATAGAAATTCAAACATGTGTAGTATTTGGGTGGGAGGAAAAGAATACCGAATGTACCGGAATTTCTACGGTTTTCGCAATTCTTTGACCAATAGAACGACGTGCACCTGTCTGTACTCTCGCGCGCACCATAGGTTACAGGTTACGTTAATGCAGAGAAAGGGGGAAAAGCTATTTTTGGGAGTATGATTCACCATCTGATGTTCCATGTAAGGAAGAAAAGTTGTTTATTTAGTTTCGGCTTTGGTACGGGGGAAATAGCGCGTTCATTAAAAAAAGCACTAAAAGCAAAAAATAAGCACTAAAAACAAAAAAATAAGGGCTTTAAAGAAAAAGTAAGCACCTATAAGGGCCTTTATATTTTATTTTCAAATATAAGGACTTATAAGCACTTGTCAGAACCGCTACGAACCCTGTAAATACAAATAAGTACATACAATAAGTACAAAAAAAAAAAAAAACAAAAAAAATGATAAAGAAAATATTCCAGGTTGCATTTAAGGTATGCATATTCACACAGCTTCCTTAAGCCACACAGTGATATTTATTGTACACTTCTACCAAACAAAATTCTGCTTTCTAAATGCATGTACTGTACAGTTTAAAACAATTAACAGTAATAATGGTTTGAAAAGTAATAATGGTTTTACCATCGTGTTGCATATCAGACGTCCACAACGTCAGGTTGTCACGCAAAAGCTGCATTATGAGAGTGGAGTCTTTGTAGCTTTCTTCACTCAGAGTATCAAGCTCCGCTATAGCATCATCAAATGCTGCCTTTGCCAGGCGACATGCCCTGTCAGGAGAATTTAAGATCTCATAGTAAAAGACTGAGAAATTGAGAGCAAGGCCCAAACGAATAGGGTGAGTTGGTGGAAGCTCCGTCATTGCAATATCACTTGCAGCCTTATACGCTACAAGACTGTTTTCTGCAGCCTCTTTCCGATCATTTCCAGTGGCAAATTCTGCCAGGTAACGGTGGTAATCACCCTTCCTATAAAAATAAGTCAGAATTAAAAACTCTCACATTTGCATAAATGATTATTTAAACAGCAGAGAAAAATTTACAACTGCCAACTGGAAAATTACAGGTCCAGCACACACGGTCTTAAAAAGGATGAATTACAGCAAAACATTAAATGTTTCCTCATAGAATTTTAAAATGCTCTTAAAATAAAATTTAATACAGAATATAATAACTTACATCTTATAGTAAAATACTTTAGATTCTCCAGTAGAAGCTGTAGGAATTAAATGTTTGTCCAGAACATCAAGTATGTCTTGACAAATATCCTTCAACTCAGTTTCAACCTGATTTTTCAATAAATAAAATATAAAATTTTAATTTTCTCAATTTCTCATTGTCAATTAAAACTTTAAAAGTTGAAGCTAGTTTAACATACAATTCCTAAAATTTGAATAAGAATGTACAATAGCTGTGATAAGTATTTATTATGGATACCTTTTGTTCCTGGCCCATTTTCAAATTTTGCTTACATAGGTTGCCCAGAAGAATGAAAATTTGAAATAAATTAATATTTGAAGTTTAACTTGAGCAATGCATTGTATAAAGATGACTTATATTTCTACAATTTAAAATATAAAAAATCAATTGAAATCTTTTAGATATAAATCTTAAAAAATGTGATCATATGCAAAAATGTCTGTGCTTTCAAAATTTATGCTATTCAACCTCTTTGTGCTTTGTAACTGAATTTATTTCTTTAAATAAACAAGTTTTAAATATGAACTATTAGTGTGTTATATTCATGATAAAAATTAATTATAGAAGTTTTTTCTTTAGCAAATCAATAAAAATAATTTGTCTTCTACTTCATGTCAAGTCCGTTACCTTGAGATTATTAATTAGTTTGTAAATCTGCTAAAAGGGGCAGTACATATTCAGTGACAAAGTAGTCAAGTTGTTTGACTACTTTGAATATGTACTGCCCCCTTTAGGCAAATTTATTAACTAATTGGGGGTAAAATAATCTCAAGGTAATGGATATGACATGAATTTTTATTTGCTAAATTTATATCTAAAAAATTCAATTGATTTTTATATTTTAAATTGTAGAAATATATTTATATTTATGCAATGCATTGCTCAAACTTTAAATATTAATTTACGTTGAATCTGTTTTTTTCTTCTGGGACAGAATATGTAGGCAACATTTAAAAATTGGCCTTTCTGCATTAATTTTACATATACGTAACTTTTCCTAAAAAGAAATTTACAAGTATATATATATACATATATATTTGTTAAATATAAGTACTTCATTCTTCATTCAAGAAGAATCCCAAATGCAAATTTCACAATTTCACTCAAGGCATTTTTATTCAAATTTTACATTTTACGCATATGCTAATATTTTCACAATCAACCCTTACATCTATAAGCTAGAATATATATTAGGTTGATAAAAATGTTGAGAAAAGAATTTCTCTACAAAACGAATAACTTGGGAAATAAACACAAATCTTTGAAAATTGCATTTCACATAAAACAAGTTTAAAAGCAGGGTTTAAACAAAAATCTTTGAAAATTATATTTCACACAAAACAAGTTTAAAAGCAAACAACCCATTGGAATGATAATGTACTTCACAACTGTGAATTACAATTCATAAGATGAAAAATAAATTTCTCTGCATTTTCTTTTTGCCTTAATAATACAAGGTGTGGCTATTAATTTCCAAAACTGTTCTAATAACACCAGAACAGAATTTAAAAACATAACCTTTTAATATGTTTCGAAGTAATTCCCATCTGCCGTAATACACTTCTGTGCTCGGCTGTATAAGTTGTGGAAACAGCATGTTTTCTTTTGGAAGGCTCTTCAATGTCGACGTCATGCTCTTCCCGATGTCTTCAACATCCACAAAACGTGTTCCTTTACAGTTTTGAGTTTGGGAAATAAAAAGAAGTCTGCAAGAGCCAAGTCAGAAGAGTATGGCGGATGATGCAGCTTCACGACCTCATGCTTGGCCAAAAACCTCTTCACTGGCAATGCAATGTGGGGGTGGGCATTGTCATACTCCCATTCTGTCGAAAATGGGAACGTACTCTGTGAATTCTTTGTCGAATCCGGGGGCAAGAACTTCTGCATAAAACTGTCCTGTAACAGTAGTGCCTGGTGGGACAAATTCATGATGAATAAGTCCTTCACTATCGAAGAAAACAATTAACATGACTTTGACCTTTGATTTTTGAAATCAAAATTTTTTCTGTTTAGAGAAGCTGGGAGACCACCATTCTGTGCTCTGTCTCTTGGTTTCAGGGTCGTATTAATAGCACCATGATTCGTCGCCTGTCACTATCAAATCCAGGAAAGCAGGGTCAGCGTTGTCAATGAGTTCACCACAAGTGTCCATTCTGACTTGCTTCTGATCGTCCAATAAACAGTGCGGGACAAATCTGGAATACACCTTGCGTTTCCCTAGGTCTTGCGTCAGACTTTGGCGAACTACCTCTTCGTAAATGTTCAGTTCCCTGCCCAGCATTCGAATAGTCAGTCGCCGATCCGCTGTTACAAGCTCTTAAACTTTCTCGATTGTTTCAGGTGTACCCACGAAAATCAGCCTTCCGGCGTGGGTGTTATCTTCAACACTTTCACGGCTGCCCCGAAAACGTCCATACCATTCAAATGTGCAGGAACGGGATAATGCTTGCTTCAACATTGCATGTGTTTCTGCCACACTTTTGCCAAGTTTAAAGCAGAATTTGATGTTCACCCTTTGCTCCATTTCAGCACTTCGACAACAAGACTTCACCATATATGTTTACACGCATCTTTCCTAGCCAAGCTCGAATCTACAACTTACGCACACTGCGGGGAGCATGTGCTCTCTCGGGTGAGTGATTGGTTTCCTGCTGTGACGTCAGTCCTGGATATTAATAGCCACACCCACAAACATCTGTGATCATTTAAGCTTTTCTTGGTATTTCCTAGGTACTTTCTTTTCTCAGGGTTGCCATGCAGACAGAAGAATGAACTTCTCCGATTTTTCCAGGTGGTGTTTCATGAAAATTCCAGGCTATCTGCATAGTGCACATTGGCTGCGATGAGGGTAAATTAATTATGGTACCACTTGAAAACAATTTTTTTAAATTACATATGACTTACTATATACATATATTCCAAAAGCATTACTTTTGTAATTATAATGAGTTGTTTTCTCCACTGAGGATCGAGATTTGAAGCTGACCAATTAGGATTTAAAAATGTCTTTTCTGCAGATATTTTGCAACTAAAGGCAGAAAGAAATCTAATATTTTTAAATATATTTAGGTATTTTATATTTACTTAGCAGCATACATAAATAAAAAATATATGCACTAAATTTCGTGATGGTATGTCATCATACTGCTAGAATTAGTTTCAAAAGTATGCCAGAGAAATTTGAAAGTATTATTAACTAATGATAAATTTAGAAGGAAGAGGACACATTAAATGATACGAATAACATTAAAATAAATTACTTTAGGATTAAAAACTGAATTACAAAAATTCGCAGCATTTTGGCGAATATAGTTTAAATGGTTAGCCTAGGACTGATAATTATAAATTTTTTTATTGTAAAATGGTAAATAAGCCACTTAATAGAGAACAGGTTTAAACAATTTTGTTTTATACCAGAATCGGAGGGGATTTACTTTCGTTCAACATGCACCTCACATGCGATTCTCTGGTTACTCGAGGTTATTGGAAACCAAAGATGTTGGAAACTTGCTTTGCCTTTCTAAAAGACAATTTGATTCGCACTGGGAAAACTGGCTCTACGGCAGCAGTCTGAATGTCGCTAACACGATACATGATTCACCACTAATGGTGCGAAAATCATTTTTTTGGGGATCACCATATGAAATTCTCGATTTTGACTGAAATATTTAAATTTCCCGACTTTTTGTTCAATTTTTAAATTCCCCGACTTTTCCCAGTTTTTCAGTTAGCATCGCAACCTGTTTTCTTCTTGGTACGCAATTAATATTTTCTTGAAATATTACCAGTAACATTTTTATAATCACTATCTGTTCTTTTCTAGCTACTGCTTCAGTCTGTGACCAATTCTATACACAAAAAAAGGGGGGCTGAAAGTTATATATCTCCTGTTCTACTGTGCCAACTTACAAAATTCAAATTGAGTTTTCCATGTCTCGAAAGCACGACTTAGGATATGTAATAGATTGATACATATGTAGCATTGCTCTAATTTAGTTATTTTGAAACAAAATAGGACTTTTTCTGAAATGACATGACATTTTTTTTCCATATTTCAATTCTACGACTCGAATTATGCTTAAATATTACATTTTGTAAAATTTGGTACGAAATTTAGGGAGAAATTCAAAAATTTATCTCTGCAGATTTCTTCACTTTGCGCCAAGAATAAATCACTTGGCAAACTTCTTAATATATGGCAACTTATTTCCTTTTCCCTTTTTACATTGTGCACCAGCGGAAAAAAATGCACATCATTCCCGCTTTCAAATAATTCCAAAGTGCCTAAACTACATTTGATGTTATTATCTCTTTCAATAAATATGGCAAATTTCAAAACGCGCTAATAAATAAATTCACGTATATTTTCAGAAATCTTGAATAAAAAACCAACTTTTTGCAGGAATGCTTGGAAATACATCTTTTTTAAAATGATAGTAAAAATTCTAAGATTACAATTCAAAATTTTTCTCAAAAAATTTGTAATAATTATTTTAAAATACAAATTTAAAAAATAAATCATAAAAAATGGGTGATTTATTTGGAATGAACCTAAATTTCAAAACGTGAAAGGTAGAATCAAATAAGTTTAATAAAAAAAGGAGATTAATAAATAAATATATATCAAATTCAATTAACATTGAGAAGCTGAGATTCCGAGAGCTAATTTTTTTTTACAAACTACTCGCACGATTTTATACAAAACCTGGTAGTTTGTCATAATATGAGTCGTATAATAGAAATATGGGAAAAAATTCACGTCATTCCAAAAAAAGTTCATATCCTAACTCACGCTTTCGAGACGAAACTCAAGTTGAATTTCGTCAATCGGCCCAGTAGAACAAAAGAGATAGAACTGCTCCATTTTTTTTTGTGCAGCTAACCTTAAGCTTCGTTTAGACGGGGGCGTAAAGGGCATAAGTTGTTAAAGCCGAGCTCTGTTGCCATGGCAACCAGTCTGTGCTACCTCACAAAATCTGGTTTAAGGCTCCAAGCATAGGGTTCAAAGTTTTCAACTTTACGCCAAGTTTGGGATAAGCGTTGACCAATCAGAGCGAAGCTAAAACGAAGCGGCATTCTACAGAAGATTTCACTGTTACAAAACAAGCAGAGCGAACGCTGGTAGTCAATCGAGCAGAAGAACAGCGCGGGAAAGATGTAGACACATCCACGAATGCGCAAATTTAGCTTCTCCCATTGGGCACGGCTTACACCCCGTTCTCGCAAGTGTGAACGGAATTCCCGTATTTTATGCCCTTATGACTACGCCTTACGCTGCCGTTTGAACGTAGCCTTAGACAACAAAAAGGGGGAAGAACTAGGAATAGGAAACAGCTAAGGATTACCAAAATGTTTCTGAATATGTTACCAAAATGTTTCTTAAAAAAATAAAATCTTAGCTAAAAAAAATGTGAGTAAGGATAACCGTTCAGTATTCTTTCAAGCCAATTTATATCTTCTCAAAGGTACGTTTTTTTCATAGCAATTTTAAACACATTGCAATACTCAGTTATTCTAATTTAAAAAGAACACAGAATCTGTTTCTAGACTTTAATGCTTTCTGAGAAACAACTTTTAATTTGTATGAATAAGAACTTGCTGTTATATATAAATCAGAAATGAGTGATACAGCAATGCTTTACATGCTATATGTTTAAAAACTGCCTTACACACATACCTGAACTCTGTAGGTTTTTATCATTTCCAGTCTATTTTCGGCTCCTTTATTTTCTTCCTTCTGCTCTATGCTGCTGATGATCCTCCATGAAGCTCTACGAGCTCCAATGACATTCTTGTAGGCCACAGAAAGCAAATTACGCTCCTCTACTGTTAATTCCAGATCAAGAGAAGCTACTTTTTTCATTGCTTCTACCATTTCTATTTAACACAGAAACAATTGTTAAATTCAGATTTGCATTAGCAACTAAAAAACAACTCTGAATTATTTTATAATAAACCATATAATAATCAGTATTTTCATTCTGACATCATTAAACCTTACACCTCCCCCTCCTGTTTTAAAACAATCTACTCTGATCTTCAACTGGAAATACACTAGTTTCAAAAATTAAGCAAAACGACAAAAATAGCAATAAAGCATTAAAAAATAAGCCAATCTGCATAAAATTTGAATATGTTGTGAATTAATAATTGTAAAACTGCAAGTAAAACTACACTATGCAAATCAGTGGCACTAAATCCAAATACATCATCTGCAAGCAGCATAAAAATGCATGTTTCATTGCATAAAAAATTTGGGATAGCCAATTTGTAGCAATGACCTCCAGTTACAATTTCCCCGAAGAACTGCGATGGAGGAGAAAGACAGAAGTAGCCAGATGGCTAAATGCGAGTCCTCCTGTGGTTCATAGACTTTGGCAACAATTTCTAACCACAGATTCGGCATTCAGGAGGTTCAGATAACGATGGCCAACTGCTACAAGCTCTGATGTCAGATATTCGTTGTTATGCCAAATGAAGGAACAAAACCTCAACTCAGATCCTCCCTTGCTGCAGCCACTGGAAGGTTGGTGTCAGTGTCAAACGTGCACAGGAGGCTTCATGAAGGTCTGTACGCGAGGCGACCAGCCATTTGCATGCCCCTCACCGTCATATGGAAGGGAACATTTGAGATGGGCACTTCAACATGTCCACTGGACAGCTGATCAATGAAAGGTTGTTCTCTTTGCAGAAGAGTCTAGGTTTAGTCTCTAAAGTAACAGTAGGCATTATTTGATTTGGAGAGAGACTGGAACCCATTATTATTTATCAAACATTTGTGAAAGAGATGCATACGCAGTGTCTGTGTTTAGGATGGTATCTCTTTGGGTGAACATACAGACCTCCATGTCTTTCCATGTGGAATCATGAATGCTCAGGCCTGTAGAGATGACATCCTTGATGCTCATCATGTGTGCCATTATGCAGGGGCAATAAGTTATAACTTCCTGCTACAGGACAATAACGATAGATCATACAAGGCTCACATCGTGGATGATTATCTTCAGCAGAACACAATTCAGCACATGAATTGGCTAACTCAATCACTGGACCAAAATCCCATCGAGGATGTTCGAATGCTTTAGAAAGAAGTACAGCTGTTCTCAATCCTCTTGTTCAGATCCTTGCCATGCTTGCAACTCCTTTGCAAGAGCAAAGGCTCTTACTTCCTATGGAACTGCATAATTGACAGCATCGCACATCGCTGTATGTGTTGTATTGCTCCTAAGGGAGATCATATTCCATACTGAAGGTAATTTCTTATACCAAACTGACATATCTGATTTATTCATTTTACACCTAGGCTAATTTCTATAACACCATACCTGTCTGGTAATTTCTTTTCATGTTACTTTATACGTTACTACAGGTTGTATACTGTAAGTCTCTCATTAAATTCTACAAGTAACTTTTTCAGCTATTATTATTTTTGTAATTTTTCCTTAATTAATGATAATCAGTGTATAAATAGCACTTATTTCAGCTGGCAGAAGTTTCAATAAAATGCCAGATCACCATGCATCTTGGGCAAGATAGAAAGACAAATGTTAAGGAGAATCACTGATATGTAATCCAATTTCATATCAAAGCAAGAAAAACTAATATAAAAAACCCTTATTTAATCAAATATTATACAAGGCTGCATGTTATGAAGTCAACATATATAATTTAGACAATTTCTAAAATATAAAATTGGTGTATTGGATGAGAAATATGTAAATTATAGAATTACTTCAAAACTTGTATAAAAAAGATCTACATCTATGATAAGTGAGAAATTATTGTCTACCACCTTTTAGTTTGGGCACCAATTACACAGTCATCAGGGTTTTTGATGCTGGAGATGCCAAAAACGTGCAATGCCTTCACCTGGGACTTTGAACCGTGGACCTCTCAAATATACTTTCAATTACACCATAAAGACATGTAAAAAGGAGGGAGAAAAATAAACTGTATCTTACAGATTCCATTTCTGACTTTAATTCTTGGAGAACTGATAGCATATCATGCCAGTGTGGTTCGAGCCAAACTAAAAAAGTGTTATCAAACGACATGAATCTTATGTCCAAAAAGGCAAATTTAACAAGCCTCCAATAGCTAATCATAGAAATTTAATCATAATTTTGATTTTGGGTCTGCAAACGTTATCCATAAAGCTTCTTCCATTGATGAATAGGATTTTCTTAAAAGGTTTTTATATTCAGAAAGACTTATCTTACTTAATAAATGATTTTAAGTCTACTGCAGTTCCTTCTAATGCTTCTAAAACTTAATTTTTCAATTTTCTTTGCTATTTCTGCTGACAGATGGCAATTTACTCCTCTCGTTCGTCGTACTCCTATACAATATAAATATGACTGCTAAACATTCATGTAATAAATGAAAATCATAAAACAGAACTTCTTCATTGTGATGATAATGCCCCAATCAATCAGTCAACTAACAGATGGTGAAATCTGTAATATGATTCTGAATAAGGTGACCAATCATCCTCCTTTGGTAGGTTCTGTCCTTCCTCAAGAAATGTCCTCCTTTTCAATATTTTATAACTAATCTCTTTATCTCTGTATTATTTAAAGATGCCGCATCGGAATGTTACGATCGTCATGTGATGGTGCAGTTCGAAAAAAAAACATGATTATAAAACGCATACACAGCATACTCTGGGCATATCAAACTTCACGCAGCCACACTTGTCTCGCACCTTCACACTTTTGTGCACTTTACTTTGTTTATTTTAATGTGTCTATAATACACTGCAGGCCACCGTAAATGCTACACCCTGCAGGAAGCAAAATCTGCCTTACAAAATTCTCCTTAATTATTATAAATATTGGCTGTATCATGTGTAATAAAAAGCTCTATAAATATCCCAATATTAAATACACCAAAAACTAACTTCAGCAATATAACAACTTCTAAAATAAAGCAGTTGACTGTGAAAGAGTATTCAATAAAATACAATTACGAAATTTTGGAGGAAAGTTACAACTTGTGTCATACAGCAATCATTTATTGAAGTTTAATTAAATTACCTTTGCAGTGACTTCTACTTGTTACATTATTTTTCACAAACACTGCTATCACAGATAGCTGAGTGGTCAGCACGCTGCTTTGCAAATGGAAAGGTAGCGAGTTCGAACCTCACCCGTAGAAAGTATATAATTCAGTTAGTTTTTCTCATTTTGAAACATGTTTCTTATATTTAATCATGAATCATTATATTCTTATTTTACCTATTATTATTGTTTTCATTTCTTATTTTATTCATTATTGTTATTGTTTTTAACTTAGTTAAAAAATGTGCAATTCAAATAAAAATCCTTATGTAATAATATATATGCATCTATCTCTTTATCACATATCGTCTATATAACTCTTTATTTTTACTTTATTGCATATTTTATCATGCACATAATTTCTCATAAACTGTCCAAAGTTTGAACCTCATTCTAAATTCAAAAACAAATGCAAAGAAAAACAAAAGACCAAGGGAGGGAGGGTTAAAAAATATGAAGTTGGTTTTATTACATGGTGGATGGTGGATATAAAGAGAATTAAGTAATTTAATTCTCTTTATATCTTTGTATATAAAGAGAATTAAGTAATTTAATTCTCTTTAAATTCTCTTTATATACCGTATTCCAAACCAATTTTATAAATCCTAATTTTCATACAATATAGAATCTGCAAGTCTGTCAAAGTGGTCGATACTCATCCTGAAGTAATTAAAAAACAAGTAATAAATTAAAAAAAAAAAAAGTCAATCCCTACTTAGGTCCACAAAGAAAAATTTAAAAAAATCCAAATAAATAAATAAAAATACAAATAGAATTTTTTTTAATTAAAAATTTAAAAAATTTTAATATGTGAAAAAGCTGTATTAACATCAAGTGTCATTCACTACAAGTTTAAAAAATTGTATTTGAACTTGAGTGGATGAATAAAAAGCATTTTATGTACTGAAAATTTGCACAAGATATAGGGAGAGTGTGGGCTAATACAGTCAAAAGTCGTTAATTCGGACACCCATAATCCGGACCTCAAAGCTACAAACTTTCTGCGCATGCGTCACGTTTACGGCTGCAAATTTGCGTGTGCGCATGCGCATAATACGTTTACGCATGCACGTTTAACGTATAACGGACGGTATAAGCTAAGCTAAAATTATCTAATTCAGTTAATGTTGCAGATTGCATTGTTCCTTAATCTTCGAATTGGATCCGGCTTATTATTTTTTGCAGACTGTTAGAGCAATTTTATAAAAGTAAGCTTGAACTTTCGATTATGTCAAATAGAATTTCCGATACATATTTACTAATATGTAAATGATCTACAAAGCGAAAGTATGTTTCGAAGTCCATTAAACAAAATGTGGAATTGCTGCAAAAAATGGATAAAGGCATATCCTTTGTTTCTTAACCATTCCGAAATCTGTTTATCAATTTTGTTGGAAAATATGACTAATTGTAACCCTTTTTCTGCATTCTCTCTCCTTATTGAAATATTTATTAGGCTTACTTCTTATTTTGAAGGGATATAGTAGTTACTTCTACTTCTTTTTTTCCACTGCCACTGTTTGTGTTGAGAACGGACTGTTTCTCAACAATCAGTCTAATTAAAATGAAAAAATGAAACGTGATGTTACGTCATCTGGAAAGCCGAGTCGTGCCGATAGCTGATTGGTTGCCGTGAGATGATGTCATGCCTACTTCTGGTATAAGTATCTTGCATCGCTCTGGCTCATCCCTTCTAGTTCCTGCTTTCTTGGCTCTTGGGTGTGCGGTTTTAGCCCCTATTGAAAGACGTCTTGCAATGCGTGCAGTCCGGGGATAAGTTCCGAAGTTCCAGTCTACAACATGGTTTTTCCCGAATAA